CAGAGGTGTTGAAGCAGGGGTCGAAAGGGGCGAGGAAGCGACGATGAGTCCAGAGGGACTCAGCTACCCAAAATCAAGCATCAGTTAGAATATAGGTGGACTCAGAGGAGTGCCACGGAGACATATCTATTGATCGTGAAGAAAAGGGATGCAGATGCGAGGCGACGGATAGTAGGGCCATGGGCATGGCAGCGCCATGGTACCGCAGAGGCGGGACTTCCGTGAAAGTCATTGATCCCTTGCTCTCATGGAGGGAGAGCGCTTGGTCATGAAAGGGGCCGAGGAGGTGGAGCATGCAGAGGCAATCTCCAAGTACCGAGACAAGGCTGAAGGGCAGAGGCCGAGGAACTTCGTAAGACCGGTGTCAATGTGCTTCTCATCAAGATAGCCGAAAGTGAAGGACTTCGGGTCATGCAAGAGTGCATAACCAAGGAACGAAGCAGGAAGTACGCGGTGTTGTACCTTTGCTACTCAGTGGAGTAGGCGGCAGGGTTGATGGAGAAGACGGTACAATCCCAGAGGCGACCAAACCTATGAGAGAATTACTCCAAGTTGGGGTGAAAACTTCCTGCATTCCAGAAGTTCGATGGCATTGAGAAGGTCAATCACAGTAACTAACTCAATGCAAGGAGTGCAAACACTTCAAGTGCTTCAGAAGTGTGAGCAAAGAGCAGGTGAAGGCTAGTAACCAGCATGAAGTACAATCTCGAGGAGGCCGGCGAAGTCAAGTAACCTTTGCCTTCTCAACTCTTAAGAGAATGGGCGAAACCGAGTACCCCAATTCTCTTACCTATCCAGCAGAGGAGCTCTGCACAAGTTCAAAGACCCTTCGAAGATAATGGAAGACAATAGTTGTCAAATCCTCACCAACGGTGATCAGTGCTACTGAGAGTAGATTGTCCGCTTCATTTCCTAACGAAATGCCAATCGAAAGCGGAAGTGATGCGAACCTACTTGGATGTGACAACTAAGTGAAAGAAGAGTCAATGAGCAGATTTTGTGGAGGAATGACCCAAAACTTCAGAAGTTTGCGAGATGATGCTCGTTAAAGCTCCAACAAGCATCCAACCAGTTCTAGCAGCATGAGAAATTCGAGAGACTGGCGCAGTAAGGATGATCTTTTCCTTCATCTGGGGGATCCGCAGGAATCAACAAGGATCAACACAACTCAACCAACCCCACACCAGAGTCAGAGTCATTGGTGAGTTGAAGCAGCATGGCGGATCAAAGGTTCGACTACTCAAAAACAGCAGCGGAGAGTAGCAAGGAGCCAAGAGGCGCATTGTAGCTGGAGCAGAAGATTGAAGACTCAGCTAAGGCGAGGAGTTGCAGTGTCGACAAAGGCTTCAACGAGGACGTCGAAGGAATAAGTGGGGGAGAATATCACGGACAAACTTCTAAACAAGGTGTTTGATGTAATGCGTATGTATGTCCGTGTCTTTTGGCATGTTCATGCCTTGTACAGCATGTAGAGGGGCGGCCGAAAGCTTAATAGTCCCATTTTAGTTGGGTTGGTGGCCTCTTTAGGCTTGTAAATAAATGTTGTGTCATGTGGACACGTGCGAGAGATTTTCGGTCTGTAATGGACCATTTTACCCTTTGTTGTGCCACTGTTCAGAGCTTGTAAAAGTCTGTTTGTAATTTGCATTGTCTATGAAGTGTTTTTCGGAGATGTTTGCTTGTGGATCCCGATTGAGGCGTTCTCTCTAACCCGTTCTTTCTTTTGTTGGTCCTAAGGGACAATGGGAGGCTTCGGGGAGGTTGACCTTTGCGGACGGACACGCAAGGGTGCCGCACGACTTAGGCAAATCCAGCTAAGTCCGTGACAGTATGTCGTTAGCTGTGACGTGTCTTGGGCCCAAAATACGCTGTATCACATCTAACCATACCTAACATGAATTCATGACTATAGGTGGCCAAGTCCCTGTTTTGCGCTATCCTTGCCAATGTTTTAGATCTATGAATTCCTCTAGGAAGTTTCTTACCGTGAGGATGAAGAATCGAGGAAGATGTCGTAAGCAGAGAACAACACAGCCGGAAAAGCCGCAGTCTGGTTTTATCAGAACAACACATAGTTGAATCCCTTTCCATTTCCGAAATTGACAGCCCAGATTTTCGGGAAGCATTTGATGTTTATGCACGGCAGCGCAGCAGATCACCCGAAGAACTTTCTGTCTCTGGAGAGTTATTTTGGTCGTCTGTGCGATGACAATCTGCCGGCAATCTAGCACCATAAGACACAATACCTTATGGTGAAGGACTCAGCTCCCAGCATTCGTCTCCATCGTCTTCCATGATAAGACGATATTAGGCTTCAGTGCCATGAATGAATCTAGTAGAATTTTATGTCAGTATCTAGTAGATATTAGGTTTTGTGCCATGAATGAATAAGTAGAACAATGTGAATTTGTACAAATTTATAGTTGCATGAAACTCGCAAAAATCCTCACAACAAACATCATTAAACAGAGCATTTTACAGTTCATTAGCTTATGGTGTTTATTTTCCATTTGCAACGCTGCATTATCTTCAACTTGATCTTTTTATTTTGGATTAAACCAGAAGCTGCCGCAGTGCCAGCGGTATCCAACTCCTCATTGCAGAAAAGAGCAGCTGAATTCTGTAACTCGGTCCTGGAGACATACAAAAGGAAGTCTCTCTCTTTTTGGTTCTTACTGTTGCTTAGCAGTGCTACGATGCTTGTGGCGTTTACTGCTTCCAGTCTTCTATCTCGTTTGTATTATGCCAATGGTGGCAAGAGCAAATGGATAATCTCCTGGGCAGCAGTTGCAGGGTGGCCGATCACTGCCCTTGTCTTGCTTCCTCCTTATCTCTTCGGCCGCATATCTCCGACTCCTCTCTCGCTTAAGCTCTTCGTTTGGTACATTCTACTGGGTTTTCTCAGTGCTGCCGATAACCTCATGTTTGCATGGGCTTACGCCTATCTTCCAGCCTCCACTGCTTCTCTCCTTTCCTCGTCTTCGCTTATCTTCTCCGCCCTGTTTGGGTATTTCATCGTGAAGAATGATCTGAATCTTTCTTCCATAAATGCAATCGTCATCATCACCGCCGGCACCGTCATAATCGCATTGGATTCAGAATCAGACCGATACCCGGGAGTCACCGGCAAGCAATACACCCTGGGGTTCATCTGGGACATTCTCGGCTCGGCTCTCCATGGTCTGATCTTTGCATTGTCGGAGCTGGTTTTCCTGAAGCTACTGGGGAGGAGATCCTTCCATGTTGTGCTGGAGCAGCAGGTCATGGTTTCACTCCTCGCCTTCGTGTTCACTTCCATAGGGCTTGTTGTGAACAATGACTTCCAGCGAATGAGATCGGAAGCCAGCAACTTCAAGCACGGGGAGGGCTCGTACGCTATGGTGCTCACTTGGGCTGCCATCACGTTTCAGCTGGGAGTGTTGGCCGGCACCGCGATCGTCTTTCTGGCTTCAACGGTGTTGGCCGGTGTTCTGAATGCGGTGAGGGTGCCACTCACAGCCATTGCTGCAGTTGTTCTGTTCCATGATCCCATGAGTGGCTTCAAGATCCTATCTCTGGTCATCACTGTTTGGGGACTTGGTTCTTACATCGTTGGTCACTCTTCCTCGAAAGTAAATTCCTAGTTGCATTGCAGAGCTCTTCGTTGACCGGCATTCTCTTTCTGCTGTACCAATTCTCGGCGTGTTCTCTTCGGCAAAGAATTGTGCTAAGATTAAGTTGTAGATCCGTGGAACCCATAATGGATTTTGCTTGTATTCTGCATGCACTCATTAGTTGAGCGAGATAAAAGTAATTATATGATCAACTGCGGCAAAGTCGATGGAGGATATGGGGATTGGCCGAATCCATGTGAATCGTGGAGGATTCCGGCATAGACCACCGTATATTCGTCGAAATCCCTGTGTTGGATCTCTCTCACCAAACACGAGGAGCCGCTCCCGCAACGCTGCGCTTATCCAGCTGTAAAGGCTCTGCATCACAAGCGCGCGACAAAGAGAGTTTAAGAGCCACGGTGGTCGATGGCAGCAGCAGACACGAGAGAGCTCGAGCCTGGTCACTCCATAGGACAGAGATGGACAGAGAGACGACCGATCGAGCTTCTACGCAAAATGACGCCTGTGGCTCGTCCACGTCGCCTCGTTCTCGTCTCTACGAAATCGTATCCTGACACCACCCACCCAAATCCATAGAAGAACAGAAAAGGACACGGTAAAAAGGAGGAAGGGACGGAGCGCGAGAGAGAAGCCCTGCGACAAGAAGCGCGCTACGGAAAGATGTGATCTTTCGTGATAGTTTACTGATGGTGAATGCTAAGATCTGTCGGTCCTCTTCGTGCATCGTCTTGATTTCTTTTAGCCAAAAATGCGGGTGGAGGGATCGTAGTTTCTCGGCAGTCGGAGTGCTAGATTTCTTTCTACACGCATGTTCTTCGATCTGGTGATTCTTTCTCTAATGTTTTCCTCCGAGATTCGAAGCAAAATCTTTGGAAAGATTTGTCTTTTCCGTTTCGAATGCGTAGATCGAAGAATTGTAATGGTGAAGAAGAGGTTAAGAAAAATTCTCCTTCTCTAGTTGAATCCTTCTCTGGCGCTCAAAACGGAGGAATTTTTAGGAGATTTTATTGCGGTTGTTGTTATTCGTAGCACAAAATCTGTTGGTGTTCTCTTGGTCAGCGGGTTGGCGTTCGCCGCAATCGCCATGTGCTGCTGCGCCGCTTAGCTTTTCCTCCTCTCGTTCGGTGCCCATTTCGACCTACATTTTAGGTTTCCTTCCGCCCGAGTCGAGGTGCCACGATGGCGAGTTGGGAGCAACTGGGGGAGCTCTCGACGGTGGCGCAGCTGACGGGCCTCGACGCCGGCCGCCTCATCGGACTGATCGTGCAGGCGGCGACCACCGCGCGGATGCACAGGAAGAACTGCCGCCAGTTCGCGCAGCACCTGAAGCTGATCGGCAATCTTTTGGAGCAGCTTAAGATCTCGGAGCTCAAGAAGTACCCTGAGACGAGGGAGCCCCTGGAGCAGCTCGAGGACGCCCTCCGGCGCTCCTACATTCTCGTGGATAGCTGTCAGAACAGGAGTTATTTGTACCTTCTGGCCATGGGATGGAACATCGTCTACCAGTTCAGAAGGGCTCAGAATGAGATCGATCGATATCTTCGACTCGTTCCGCTCATCACTCTCGTCGACAATGCTCGGGTCAGAGTAAGGATTCTGGCTTAATTGTTGGGTCCTAATCTAACAACTTATCTTTTTGTTCCTTATATGCTATTAATATATGGTCCTGTTGGCTTTAGAAAAGCATTTCTTTGAAGAATAATATATAATCCTGTTCTTGCATAAGCAGATTGTAGAAGGATAGTATATATTTCATTATTGATTTGATCGAGTTCAAAGTATCGTCAATTGATTTGTATGCTCTCTTTCTACCTTGAAGATATGTAGATTGAAGGCATTTATTTTCCGGCATTGTTTGGGATATATATCCTCTATGACTTTAATGTGCTAATAACCTCCATCATTGGATTTCTATACTTCTGAACATGGCATATCATACCTATTTTGTTCTGCATTATCAAAGTGTTGTCAACAAAGCTTCAAAGAAGTAATGAGCAGTAGCAACGAAGGAGGAAGGGATTAAGGGTTTAGGGATGTGAAGAGATGGTATATAGGAGTTTACTCCCTAGAGGTGGAAAAGTCCGACAGCTGTTCAAATGGATTTGCTGGATGGTAGGGTGGAATCAGGCTAGGTCATCTTTTAAGGTTGGCTGCCCTGCTAGCCACTTGTTAGATCTTGGATATTGAAGGGTCTAGAATTTATAGTTGATATGCAATAACTCACTTTGTTAGCCACATTTAACTCAAGCAAGTCCAAAACTGAAGTTAACTTTTCTTTTTGTTTGATTCCTTAATATCACCTTGCTTTTAGATTTTAACTAGGGATTTCAGGGAGTTCTTTGGATTTATATGTTGACTTGTTAAGGTTTATTTTGGATATTTAGCCAGACTGTTCATGCAGAAATATCCATAGTTTTCTATAGAAAGATCATTGATGCTCCCATCGTATAGTGGTCAAATTTAACTATTCGATGACATGCTTGCTTTTATTCTAACTGGTTTTATTTAATTTCTTGTATGTTAGGAGAGGCTAGATTCCATTGCAAGGGATGAGCGGGAGTATACTTTGGATGAAGAAGACAGAAAGGTGCAAGATGCTATTTTGGATCGTGATCCATCTACAAACCATACCACAGTTCTCGAGAAGTCACTGTCTTGTTCTTATCCAAACATGCCATTTGATGAGGCCCTTAAGAAAGAAAGACAAAAGCTCCAAATGGAACTCCAAAGATCACAAGTAACCATGGATATTGGTCAGTGTGAGGTGATCCAGCATTTGATTGGAGTGACACACAATGTGGCTACCACTTTAGAAGAAAAAAGTACACATCTCAAAAGTCCAAAGAAAGTTGAGCTAAGTTATTCTGGTGACAATAGTTACAAAGAACATACTTTTGATGAGAACTATCATGAGCAAGTTACAAAATCAACTTATAGGTTGGTCTTCTCTTTTCATAAGATAAGAGAGTATGATGCATGAATCTTGAAGTAATTTTTCTTGTCTGTAAACAACTTAGTTCTATTGTTAAACTAAGCAACTTATGCTTATTTTTGTGTTCTTCCTGTTTTCTGTTTCCTCAATTTTGTGACAGTACCTATCACAAAAAAGTTCTTTCGTTTTCTTTGTTGATGTGACTATTGTTCAGAATTCTTAGTATTAGGGTTATTCTTTCCATTTTAGTTTGCTTTTTGCTCTTCTTTTTATCTGCTTATTAAGTTCTCCATATTGTTTCCTTCTCCTGACTCGAGTTATTTGATCACATAACAGCTGCCAATACCAAACCTTTTTTTTTTCTGCAAAGGTAAGTGATAAAGGCTGGATTTGATCCTAAGACCTTACGATGATATGATAAGGCATTACTGGACTTGGTTGCACTATTTCTTCACCATTTATCACTACATAAGATACCTAAATTTAGGAATATTGCAATCAACATTGGAATCATGGTTGCTAATGTTTTTGACTGATACTCCAATTATTCTTTTAATCTTGTTAATACATTTTTCTGCATAAGCTGATGAGTCATTTGCAGGGGAACTTACATAGAGGCTTTGCTCAATTACTAAGCAGTTTTTGTCAAAAATCATAGAAATATGTTGTCAAATGTCTTAAGTGTTTTGACAACCTTTCCCTATAGCTAATAACTGGAGCCATAACCAGACAGAAAATCAATGACAATGAAGCACTTGAACAAATCATTGACCTTCATGTACTTAAAATATATACACTACAAACTTTATGCGATCATTTTGTCTGAAAGGAATTTATTTTTTTTAAGACATTCAGTTGTAGAATCCTGTGATATTTTATAATTGGAGCAACTGCATGCTGCCATGACCATGACAGCGTTTCAAACTACCTTTTGTATTTATTAGATTTCTTGCTATCAATCTTGTGTTTTTTTTTTTTTGACATTAAAGAAAGATTGAATCATTTTAAAAAGATAGAGATCAGCAATTCTTGTCATAAACGATTTTGTTTTGGTATAGTGAAATCCTCATTTGAAATATACAAAAGGATGAACACTTGTTTGACCTTTTTGTTCACAGTGACTAAATATTTCATATCTATAGTTTCTATTCTTCAGATCCTTCACTCTTTATTATGTTACATTAGCCATAACCTAATCCCTAGTGTGCCAATTATTTGTCCCTTGTTGACCACAAAGTCGAAAACTCCATGATGTGTTTTCTTCTTTACCGAATTATTGATTATTACAGACAAGATTGAAGAAAATAATCACAATAAGATTAATCAGTAAGATAATGGTACACCAATAATTGCAATTTGAAAAAAAATTGTAAACTTGTTGGATGTTTCGGGTACTGGATCCATGTGGATCCCCAACAGGACCGATACAAGCCCAGTATGTGTTAGCATACGGCACATGATATGCGGGTATCTGTCTTATACCTTAGAAAATATTTAAGCATACACGGTATCGGGCGGCATGTGCTGTGTTCCATGCTTCCACCCCAATAGGCCACCAGACTGGTATGTTCTGCCTGCATACCAGTTCTGGCGAAATGTAGAACCATGGATGTATCATGTATGTGATTTTGTATGCATGGAATGTTAAATGCACACTCTAGTCTTCAAATAAATGATAATTGATGCTTGAATTGTTATACTGAAATCTAGTTCCTCTATCCCGATCATGAAGCAGGGACTTATAGTGAATTGGGTTCAGAGCAAAGATTTAGAGCTGTAAATTACAATGATGAATAATATGAGGACATGAAAATGTTTGTAAAAAGATGCTAAAATAATAAAATGCTCGAGTTTGGACTCTCCAAGACATTTTCTTGTTCAGTTTTTTTCTTCAACATTCTCATGCAGATTTTGTAACCTTATTTAAAGTATTTTGCTTTTCTATTCCTTTCATATCCATAAATCATAAACTGTTGGTGCGTCTTGCACCTGTGAATTGTTTGTGTATTTCTTGTGTTCTTGGACAACTTCTATTGACTGAAATCTATGTAATGCATTCGAATATTTGCTTGCAACTTCGAAGTTCCATCTTCCAAAGGTTCTTGAATACTTGAAATTATATGATATACAGACATAAATACAGTGACAACAAGACAAAGATATTTTCTTCTCATAACTAAATGAATATGTTGGAACAAAGAAAGTATGAAGATGTTGAAGTACTTGTTCATGCAAGTTTCATGTGAATCTACTATACATAACTTTGTGATTTATGAACTTTTGTACAGTATATTTGAAATTTAAAACCTAACTGAATCTGAAATTTGCATAGAACCGGTTCACCACATTCATCGGGTCATGATATGATTTCACACAGAGGACTTCACGGGCATGAAGAGTGGCATTCAGACTTGCTTGGATGTTGTTCAGAGCCTTCATTATGTAAGTCGCTCTTTATGGCTAGCTTCAGTTTATCTATAATGTGCTTCTTAAATAATCTATAAGTGGAATTTTATGCCTTATTTTCCATGCACACAAAGAAATACTGTTTAGTTAACAATCAGATGAAGTAATGAGCTTGCTGCCATCTATGGTGAAGACAGCAAATTCTTGCTGCCGACACACACTAACACATTTGATTTTTTTCCTTAGTGACCCTCGGAATGGATAGATAGAATGCCTATTGTATGGATCAACAATATGGATTTCTTGATCACTCATTAGAAGTTATACCAGTATACATCCGTCATAATTTAAACAAAGCATATTGTTTTCATAATGTATGTCACACTCTTCAATCAAATTCATAAGCTTATGACTGTTCTATCATAAGCTTACGACGTATATTTTGCTAATATCATCAGATGAATAAAAATTTGCTTTTGACTGGACATGATAACTTATCTATCAATTTACAGCACCTTACTCATCTTTTGCAGGTTTCAAAACTTTCTTCTATCCTTGCGGTACATTTTCACAGATTGCTTCTGTAGCAAAAAACAGACCAGTCTGTACGTGATCTCATTCCATGATAGTTTTCATCTATATTCCTTGGTGATTAATGATATGCTAAAAACAATTTCCAAAAGAAAAGTTCTGACCTATGCTTTGTTGCTTTTCCATGTTTGCGTGGTTTTTCTTTTTTTATTATCTCTAAGGGGGAACGTCTACATTCAAGTAATAGCTATTATCTGTTATAAATGTTAATGCAGTTCCTATGTGTGAAATACAACCAGTCAATTGAAAAAAATATACTTGACTTCCGTCGAGAACTTTAGATTTATGTTGATGCCACCGAACGATGCTGTTTCAGTTCAGGAAAAAGCTGCAAATGCTTGTTCATATCAGTCGATAAAGTATGTCTTTGGATGATTGGCAGGGGTGCATAGTTAAATATCTGAAGTAGGTATAGTACTATAGTAGTACATGAGAAGACTAACTGTTCTGAAGCTTCAGCAACCTATGTTAGAAAGATTTAGTGAGAACCTGCTATAGTTCTTTAAGTTGCAGTGAATTAGGACAACAGTTTCTAAAATTGAAGGAATTCAACTCACATTTTTCAACGTGAATCATTTATCTGGATGACTATTTAGACAATGTTGTCTGACATTACGCTCTGACTCGAATGATCTTGATTAAAGAATTATCAGATCGCCAAGTTTTCAAATGCCAAGAGTCCAATTACCAGTGTGCTTCAATATGATCATAGTAATTTTAGCATCCACAGTTTTGTGAATTAGCAATACATTAAACATATGCAGTCAGCTGATTACATGACATGAATGAAAGGCCAACTTATGTAACTTTGAAAACCCAACATTCTTGGAGATCTTGGACTCTCTATAGTTGGTAACTATCTCAAGATAGCTTTTTGTATAAGTTGAGCATTTGCACTTTAATGCAAAGTTTCTTTGCTAAGTATGTCAGTGGGTTGGCTTTTTGTACTTCAGAATATTCTTCAAGATGATTCACTTTGCTATAATCTATTTCTGATCTGTAAACTTGTTGCTTGCATAAATTAACTAGAAATCAGAATTATTTTAAAACTCCATGTGGTCAGAAACCATGTATGAATTAGAGCAACACACCAATTATCTATCATCTTGTCCTTGTAGAGGTTGGGAACTTCATTGTTTTGTGTTTGCATTTCACTACTGTTGATCTCAAGCATATGCTATGGCTATAACGATAACCTGGAGACTTGACAGTTTATCTACATAATCATTTTACATGACTTGTTAATTTGATGTTTCCAATTCACAATTGGTAGAAGCTTCCAAGGAAAAGATTGTTTTTCAATAAATGGCTCTGTTTCCTGTCAACAGCTTCAGCGGAAGCATGTAATGACTTGATGGCATATTCATTAGTATTGTCATGCTGTTGTTACACCTGCTGTGTTAGAAGGAAGCTACGAAACATGTTCAACATTACGGTAACTTGGTCCTTTTTATCTGTGACATGTAATTTTTATGTAATTGATTTTATGACTCCTATCAAAATTTTAACTTTCTTGACCACATTTTTGCTTTATTGCTGTATCATTATGAACACCTTAAGAACAACTGTATTTTTTGTACTTCTCTGTTGCTTAACTGCAGAATGCAAATGTGTCGATAATTTAATTTTGTCATTTACTTCTGCAACATGAGTGGGCATGTAAGAAAGAGAAGCTAAAAACAATCAATTGGTTCCGTCTATCAAGTTGTAAATGATAAAAAATGATAGAGAAGGCTCTATTTATAAGCTACTTTTTACAAACAAGAAAATGAAAAGAAAACTTGAAGTAGTAAATACCCTTCTCATATTTACTTTATCATTGTGATTATGTATTTAAATGTTTTGTTTCCATAATTAATGATCCAGTGTTATTCTGTGTTTCCTAATCTCGATGAATCAATTTTAACATCAATTGTGGTGCAACTATTTGGTTGTCCTTAAAACATGGAAAGATAATAATTTTGTGGACTTTGTGCTGGCAATTTAGGTGGTTTCTAGGTGGGTGCTTAAAGGCAATTGGTATGCATTTATCATTGTCGGTGAAAGGAGGATATGTCTTAAGTGGAGCTTGTTTAAGAGTAAAATGCATCATTTAATTCGTTTTGATGTTGCGAAATTGTCAGTAAATTTAGTAAGCAATTGTAGCTAAATGCATGTCGACAATAGCTTCTTTACACTGTCTTACTTCCCATCAATGGTTATCTATGGGTGCTCAAGGTAGTTGATGATCAATCTGCTAGGATTCATATATTACCTGTCATGAAAATTTTGATTCATCCTCGACTGTATTTTTGGGGTTTGCTGATACACTACTACTACTCTTTCTGCTAGGGAGGGCTTTGTGATGATTTCTTGTCACATCTACTGTGCTGTTGTTGTGCACTAGTTCAAGAATGGCGTGAGGTGGAGATTCGTGGGGTTAAAGGTATGCCATTGCATTGCATAGTTCACGAATTAAATGCTTTATAAGCCAATGATAAAGTTGATTTGTCATATAAATGTCCTTTTAGCTATTGGTTAATTTCCAGACAAGAATTCCAAAATTAAATTAATTCCAGAATCATATTCTTGTTAGGGTTTCTCAAATCATGTTTTGTTAGATCATATCCTCCTCATATATCGATCCAATCCCTAAAAGAAACTGAACCAAGAAAATAAATGATAACTGATATCATGAGGTCTACTTCATTCAATTAATTCTCCAGTGAGAAAGAACTATAACAGTGGAGGTGGCAAGTAGTGTGAATGATAGTAAGATTTCCCAAGAAGAGTTACTATATATATAGACTTCAGGTTTCCAAATCTCAAATATTCTTGTTGATCCAACTTAGATGTCTTATCCACAGATCCAATTCTTGTCTGTCGAGTTAGAATGGTCACCAGGATTACACACTATACGAATCCAACTTATCATCTACTAATATTGATATCTTATGCTGCATTTTTGCAGGCACTTGGAAGACACAAACCAATCCACCAGCTTCTCAGTACATGGAATTCTAAGCGTCAGCTTGGAGGAGATTTGTTGCTGTGTAGGTGTATCTATCTAATTGACTGCAACAGAGGTAGCAGTAGATTGTTGCTGCATTCCATGCATTAGGATTTGTGACCTTCAAACTTTGGAAATAGTAGGCCATATATTTATTATAACTCTGTTGCTATCAGATCGTGCATGTTATGGTTGATGTAACGATGAGTGCAGCTTTACTGTTTGTTATATTGTGTGAATTGGATGACATACATATTGTTAGGGTTTACTTCTCCTTTCGCCTCATCCGATGGCCAAGCCATGGCAAAAACGATCCCCTTGAAGAGCTTAGACGGCGAGATGTTCAAGGTGCATGCGACGGTGGCGATGGAGTCCTAGACCATCGGGCACATGATCGAGAATGGCAACTCCCTCCCCAACGTCACCACCAGTATCCTCATTAAGGACATTTGAGTACTACAGAAGTTTTTTTGATTTGTTGGTGTTAGGAAAAAATATCGTTGACGTCTTAGTCAGCTCGATGTGGTTTGGACTCGTATGCGTAAGATTGTTTGAGATATCTTTGAGGTAGGAACTACAAGTTTCTTTGGTGTCATTTGCATGTAAATCAAGGTTATAAAAGGTTTCTCGACCGAGTCCTTTCGACGCTTAAGTTAGTAGCTTGTAAGTGTGGAGAAGAATAGTCAAAAGAAGTTTCTTTTTTCTATGTTAAAGGTGAGTTTTATACTTGGTCATAAAGGGTACGAAGAAAGCTTGTGATTGTTTTTTTTATCATAAATGGCAAGAGGAAAGTTTATGTTTGTTTTTCCTATCATTTGTCCCCCATGAAGGCGTGCTTCGAGGCGTTTTTGAGAAAGGCTCAAAGTGTAGCGTTTGGTTCATCCGACACATGAGCATTCGAGATTCGCGGGTCGAGTTATCTCGACATATTTTGCATTATGCCTTCGTCATTGTGGATTTCTTTTCATGCAGGTCTGGTTTTCCTAACTCATGCATCTTGGATGCATTTAGTCTTATGTCTCCATCGTGATATATTTCTCATCATGCGGGTTGAGTTTTCTTAACTCGTGTATCTCATGTGCATTTGGTCTTACGCCTCTGTCGTAGCATATTTTTTATCATGTGGGTTAGGTTTTTCTGACTTATGCGTCTCGGGCGCATTTGGCCTTACACCTCTGTTGTGATAGTTTTCTCCTCGCACGGGTTGGGTTTTCCTGACTCACGCCTTTTGAGCGCATTTGACCATGTGCCTTCACAATGACGGATTTCTCATCACGCGGGTCGAGTTTTCTTGACTCATGCATCTCAAGCGAATTTGGCCTTATGCCTCCATTGTGGTAGATTTCTCTTTGCGTTAGTCGAGCTTTTTCGACTCATGTATCTCAAACGCATTTGGTCTTGTGCCTCTATCATGGTGGATTTTCTTTCATGCGGGTCAGGTTTTTCCAACTCACGTATCTCGGGCGCATTTGGCCTTGTGCCTCCATCATGATGGATTTTTTTTCATGCTGGTTTGGTTTTCTTGACTCATATGTTTCGGGTGCATTTGGTCTTGTGCCTTTGCCATGGTAGATTTCTCATAATGTAGGTCGGGTTTTCTCGACTCACGTGTCTCAAGCGCATTTGGTCTTGTGCCTTCGTTATGGTGGATTTATCTTCACGTGGATCGGGGTTTCCTGACTCACATGTCTCAGGTGCATTTGGCCTTGCGCCTTCATCGTGGTAAATTTCTCTTTATGCTGGTTGGGTTTTCCCGACTCATGCGTCTTGGGCATATTTGGCTTGACGCCTTTACCGTGGTAGATTTCTCTTCACATGGGTCAGGTTTTTCTGACATATGCATTTAGGGCGCATTTGGCCTTGTGCTTCTACGATGGTGGATTTCTCTTTGCACAGGTCGAGTTTTCCTGACTCATGTATCTTGGGTGCATTTGGCCTTACGCCTTCACCGTGATGGATTTCTCTTCATATAGTCGGGTTTTTCTGACTCACGCATCTCAAGCACATTTGGCCTTGCACCTCCCCCATAACGAATTTTTCTTTATGTCGGTTAAGTTTTCCTAACTCATGCATCTCGGGTGCATTTAGCCTTGCGCCTCTACTGTGGTGGATTTCTCATCATGCAGATCGAGTTTTTTCGACATGTGTCTCGGGCACATTTGGCTTTGTACCACCACCACAGTAGATTTCTCTTTGTGCATCTCAGGCGCATTTGGCCTTGCGCCTTCACCATGGCAGATTTCTTTACCTCTTTAAGTCCATCTGGCGCATATCAAATCCGTTGTCCGGTATGTTTCGAATTCATTTTGGTGTTCTTTGAATCCTTTGTTTAGCATGTTTCGAATTTGTTCTAGTGCTTTTTAAATCCTTTGTGGTGCTTGTTGAGTCCTCAATTCACTGGACCTTGCTCTTCCTTTTAATCCTCTATAGCCTTGTGATTGTAATTCTTTTTAGACATGGACATGCATTCTTCGAAGACGAAGGTGCCCGGCTCTTCTTCAAGTACAACATTGGCCTATTTGATTCCGACCACTATTCGCGAGCCATCACTTGAGGCGTTAGGCCTGACTTAGTCTGGCCACCATACTAGCACCTATAAATCAAGAAATAAGTAGATCATTATGAGGAGGGTGCCTCGTCCTTGAAGGAGTGTGGAACCCGAGGAGCGAGTTACTAATAGGGATCCTCCCACCTCTGTAGCGTCGATGCCTTCTAAGGGTCATCGAAGTTCTCGGCCCTCTTCGAGAAAAAGAGGAGATAGCCCAAGGTCAATGTTTGATTTATGTAGGTGCAAGCTCTTGCCCTTTACAGCTATTCAAATAGCTGACCTACCAGACCCGATCTTGGGAGTATCATTGCAACTGAGATGGGAGGATTTGCATGAGGAGCATAAGGTATGGAGTGATGGTGTGGCTTCAAAGCAATACTACTATGGATCCTTGTGTCCGGTAGTAGTGAAGTAGATCTATCATTCCCCTTTGGAGGTTTTGATTGACACTTGCTTTTACAACGAAGTGCTGGTAAGTTAGGTCATGGATGACTCCTTCGAATTTGCTTCCGAAGTAGATCTATCATGTGTTTGTTTATAATTTACAGCACCATCACTACATAACAACCCTTATCGATCGTGTACATGATGCTAGTATCGTTATTCACCAACAAGCCCTCATAATCGACAATCTTCAAGAAGAGATCAAAGGGCTAAAGAAGGATGGAGCTCCTATTGTTGTTGTCGAGGTGGAGGCTCGGGGGGTTGAGCTGGCATGACAACTTGAGGAAGCTGAGCTGCTCCATGCCAACCTTGTTAGGCAGCTAAAGGAAGTTCGGAGCAATACCCGGACTATGGAGAACAATCTACTGCAACTCATTCGAGAGTTGGATTCGACGAGGATACATAACTTGGAGCTTGGTGAGTAGGTTACGGTGGCCAATAAGTGCTAGTCATAGGTGCCCTATAAGCCAATCACATGAGTGATGACACGTGTGACATGATACACATTCTTTTTGTTTATTATATTATTTAGTATTTTATCACTTCATATTACTTGTTGCATATATGCATGTGTATTGTGATATTCATGGATCTATGCAATGGGAATCGAATCGTGATGAGATCATGATAATGAGACTGATTCACCTTTAAATATAGACCGTAAATAATTCTAGTCATAGGTTACTCGAGAGGGACATCGAGATAATCAGATAGACCGATGTGTTGTATACACATTCATAAAATGAAGGCAACTGGTCTCATAGCTACTCATGTGGGGACACTAGGGCTATAGTGCAAGTGCTCATTAGAGAATGAGTTCACTGATTGATCTGCTTACGAAATGCTGGATGGTTAATGATATCTCAATGTCAGACAGTGATTCTGTTATCCTAGTGGTGTACATGGTCCCTAGACTTGAGACACCATGTCTTGTATGAGTACTTTACTCTTCGATACCCGACTTATATGTTTAGAAGTTTCAAATCTAGCACAACTAGACATCAGGAGTGACAGTCAATCGTACGAGGGCTATTGAGTGTCGATAGAGGATCATCCGCTCTCGGTGTTATGAGAGGAATATCCCATGTGTTCTTACTTAGACAAATCCCTGGCCAAGGTCATTCGGATTGAGAGAGAAAGAGTTCTTTGGGAGAATCCGATTAGAGTGAGACTCGAGTAGAAACCGTATGAGTCTGATAGCACCATGCTTAGTATATGGTCTTTGGGATATTAGATGGATAAGGGACTATATGTACATGGTAACTAAGGACAAATAGGTTCAAATGATTGGATTTCTCTGTATCATCTTAGGGCTGCAGCGTAGTGGCCTAGTACGTCCGTAGTCGATAAGTCGAGTGAATTATTATGAAGATAATAATTCATTAAGCCAGAAGAAGTTCTGATAAGTATGACTCACGGCTAGCTCGATACTGGGCCTAGAGGGTCATATACATATGGTAGGCGTAGCGACGAGTAGAGGTTCGAATATAAGATATCCGTCGGAGTCCCTATCTTATTGGATATCTAATAAGCCCCTGAATTATTAGATTCTATGGATGAGATCCAATAAGAGCCAATAAGAGATTATTGGATAGAGATCTACTAATCTAAAAGGTTTGGGTAGTTGAATTGTGATTTAATACCTAATAGGGTAAGATCTATTAAGGTTAAGTTGACATAGGGTCTCTATAAATAAGAGGGAATGAAAGACTCGTAAGCTAGAGGCTTCTTGGCTACCACCTCCTATTCTCCTATCCCCTTCTCCTTCTCAGATAGCAGGTGTGAGGATTTAGGCAGCGATTTGAGGATAACCGCTAGAGAGGAGGGCGTTTGACCTCCTTCATCATCTCATACAGATCTGTAGGGATTCAAGGATATACGATCTCTCTAGGTGATATACGATCTCTCTAGGTAATACAACTATCTCACACGTGGATTTATGTTTAATTAGTTTTTTGTGCACCAATCTTCGCACGATAACGAACACCTTTTTGGAAATTTTGGGATTTTTATTTTTTGTGCTTCTGCTGCGTATGTGATGTCACCCCTAGATTTTCCTAAAGTGGTATCAGAGCCAGGTTGTTCATGCGAAAGATTGGTTTTGAACTGTATGTGTTGTATTTTAGCAAGACTTTGACGTTAAAATTGTTAACACAAAAGTTGAGAGAGGACAGCAACTATTGCTGCCCTCATAGGTTGGCCAATGGCTGCTTGTAGCCTTGGCCGAGGCTTGGCC